CCTCCTCTCCTGGCTTCCCCTGGACTGTATAAACCTCTCTCTGGCCTGGATTCCCATTTTTCTCCTCTAAGGGCTCTCTATGCCCTTGCCTTGAATTCATCTTTGCTGCCCTGCTCCTGCTTCTCTGACGCCATCAGAATGTCCTCCCCCCCTTGCTGAAGGTCAGGCGAAAGCCCTTTCCTCTAGGAAGCTCTCAGCCCCAGCCTTCTCTGAGCAATGAAGAGTACACAATCATTTACTTATATCTGCTATTATTACCTGCTGTATTGTTTTGAGTTGCGAACTTTAGCGATTCCCAGCTATGGACAAGGTGTGTCTTCCTAGCTACCTACCTATTATTAACAAGGCACCTGGCACATACCAGGGGCACGAGGGGCGACGAGTACTAACACAGCTACGCAGTGCTGCAGCTGAGCAACGGGACCTTGGCCTGGAGGTACCTGATGGGTCGCTTCAGGGACTTTTCTGTGCCTTCCAGGGTAGCAGACATTCCAAGGGCGACTTTGCCGGGAGAGGCCAGATCTTTCCCTGGGCCATAGGGCTATGTGCCTGCCTCTTGCCACCCCACAACCATTCAGCTCCCTGGGCCAGTGAGGTTCTCCTGCTCACCCAAACAACCTGTCTTTTGCAGCACTAGAATTCTGCCCCCATCCAAACACTATTCCCCTTCCTGCCCTGGCCAGAACTCCAGGTGCCTGGCTTCCTGCTCCCACTTAGCCAGTGATAACACTGACCATCCACTGTCAAGTGCAGCCGGGCCAACTCTGCAGCCTGGTTCACAGGTCCACGGGGGCAGTGGCTGCAACAGGCAGGATTACTCCTGCAGAACCCCGGGGGCACACTTGATGGGTCTGACTCTCCTCCTGACCCCTCTTTCCCTAAGAACTGACCACCACCTCTTCATCCCAAGCTTAGCCAAAGTCGCTGTAACAAAAAGTTAATTCTAGATACACTAGCAGCTTAAGAGCCGGAGGCAGGGCCAAACTTTCAGAAAGGAGTCCTTTATTCTTTGTGTACCGTTGGGTAAATTTCCTGCTCAGAGGAAAGGTTCTCTCCTGCCCAGGGCCCCTGCAGCCTGGAAGTACCTGGAGGGTCACCTGGGATCCTCGTGGGAATCTGCAATCTTAACCTTGCCACCCAGTGCAAGAGCACAGAGCAGGCTGATCACTTGGGGAAGGCAGTACCCAGCCTCCCCGCCCCCCCCCAGGTCCCATGGAGCCACGCTCTTGAGTCGCCTTTGTCCCCTCTCTCAGCAATGCCAGCACAGCTTTTCTGGCCCCCAGGACGAGAGGATTTTGAGTTTCTCATTTAACACTGCCATCCCCCAAAAAGAAGAAGGTTTAAAACATCTCTACTTACCAATGTAGGTCCACTTGGATCCTGCAAAGAACAAGACAAAGCAGGTTAGTACAACTGAACACAAAGTGTCAAGGAGGACACTACAGATTTGATTTCAGAGAGGCTGAGATCGAAAAGGAGGTGGCGCCCAGAAATTAAAACTTCTGAGTCCTTTCCTCCCACGCTACTTCCAAGAGTCTCCTTGTCTCTCAGGTGACCGCGCGTCCTTCCCAGGAGTGCCACAAATGGCTGTATTTAGGCCTCCCCCCTCTTCCTTGCACAAATCTCTATCCTGGAAAGCAGCACACGCCAGTACTCAGAGCACTAAAGTGGAAGGGAAAGCGCTCGGCTCTAAGAAAGCTGCCCTCAGTCAGGATGCTGGGTGGCAGGCGCATGGAGGAAAGGCTCTGCCAGAGCGCAGGACAGCTGCCTCAACTTCCCCTCCAAACCCTTTGTACCACACAGGCCCTTTGTCCTTCATCCAAAATGTGTTTTTGGGCGGGCGAGATAGTTTAGCAGACTAAGTGCCTATTTAGGCAAGCGCAGGGTTTGATTCCCAGCATCACAGGCTGGGCAAGCTGTGAGGGCCACAGAGACTGGGTGTGGTGGCGCATGCCTGTAATCCTTGCACTGGGGAGGCTGAGACAGGAGGATCATTGTAAGTCTGAGCTGTGTAGTGAGACCCTGTACCAAATACGTTTTTTTTTTTATTTTATTTAAATTATTATTTTTATTTATTACATTTTTATTTATTGTGTGTGTGTGTGTGTGTGTGTGTGGCCAGCTCAGCCCACCAGGGGGCAGGGCTGGCTGGCATGTGGTGCCGGGGGATCGAACCGCGGTCCCTGTGCCCCGCCAAGCTTGCTTCAAGTAGGTGCTTTAGACCACTGAGCCATCTCACCAGCCCCTGTTTTGTTTTTTAACGTATCTTTCATGCTGGCTGCCCTTGCTCCTCTTTAGCCTTAGAAGGAGCCGGGGACCATGAGCTGAGACACATCTTCCTGGGGGTTTAGGGGACACATCCAAAAAGCCACACAACTCCGAAGCCCCTTGCTCTTGGCATCTTCCAATGCCAGTATGGCTGGGAGGCACAGGCGGAAGGGGAAGAAACTCAGGGTCCCTTATGGTGAAACTGAACTGGCAGGCAATGCACGCATGGAGAAAAGGAGGCATTTCCTACTCAAGCCAGTGGTGGTTTTTAAAAACTCAGAGAAGACTTCGCTTTTAAAAAACAAACAACCAACAACAAAACCCTGGTTTGATCTCACTTCGTCATTGTTATCCTGTTTTATTTCTTTGCTTCTTTGTCTTAATTTTATTTTCAGTTTTCAAATTTAAAACTAGTAATTGAAATTGGTAATTTAAAACTGGTAAAATTACCAAATTTAAGTTTGGTAATTTTTTAAACCAAAGGATGGCTCTATTAGACTCTTAAACAAATATCAACCCCCTAGTAGGCCCTCACCGTTTATCTGCTCCCTGGGGCAACCCTGTGAATTCTTTTAAAATGATTCCATGTTTTCCGCATACAGTAGGCCCTTGCCTTACTAACCCCGGAGCTGCCCATAACTCAGGCCATCAACTGAAAGCTCAGATTCCTACACAGCCTTCGGGCTCTCTCCTGTGTATAGGCGAGTCTCGGTGTCCTTAGAGAGACACTGGCCCAGGGTTTCTCAGGTAACCGCATACAGGCAAGGACCTGGTTAAGTTCCTTTCAGAACTCTTAAGGGTTAAATCTTTGTCTGAAACCCTGCAGAAGCACAAGCGGCTGGCCTTCAGGTCATAACTCAAGACTTTGGTCATAAGTTAAAACTAAAATTTTGGTCAGGACCCAAGTTGGTCGTATGTCACGCTGGTCGCAACTCGAAGGTCCACTGTTCTAAAAACTTTCTTACACTGTTCTCTGTGGTGGTCTTGGGGCTCAGCATTTCTTTATTGAAGAAAAGAATTTCTTTTCTTCAATAAAGAAGAGAATTTAGTTCCCTCTAGAAGAGAATTTAGTTCTCTTTCATATATCTGTAGTCTGTCCCCCTCTTTTGATAGGCAAGGAAGTAAAAGTCTACTAATGAAGTATCTTGCCCAAAATCACACATGAGCGAAGGCTCTCGGTACATTTACCATTAGTTCCCATGAGCCTGTTGGTCTGTGTTTCAGTCTTTGGAGCAGCAAGCAGTAGAGTGCAAATCCTTTGGAGTATCTGAAGCTGGTATGTCCCTTTTCCCCATAAGACTGGCCACGATATTAGACACATAAAACTTCATTTATCACAAATCTCAAAAGGTCCACAGACTACGCAGAAGCCTGCAGGAGTTGCCTCCCCTGGAGCAACAATTAAAGAAAAAATTCAGAACCAGGGGGAAACAGAACTTACAGACGATCACCAGGTTTACTACTAGGCCTCTTACTGAAATGACAGTGAAAAGAAACACTGCCTCGGCACCACCACGGCTCTTGAAGACACCATGCATCTTCCCTGGACATTCTCCTTCACTGTTGTGGTTGAAGGTTCACTACTGAAACGCAGTCGTGGTCTTAAGAGACCTGAAAAGCCCGGTTAGGGCTGCCAGCTGGAGTCCTCGGAGTCGGAGGTAGAAAATTCTCCTCTGTGAGAAGAGAATTCATCTTCACTCCTCCCCAGGCAGGGAGATGCCAGGGCCACCAGAACACACCTGCTGCCTCTGAGCCATCTCGGCATCCTGGAGGTGACAGTGCCCCTGCCCCAGATAATATGAAGCCTGGTGGTACATCATCTGCTGTGTTCCCACCCCCCACCCGACTTGTGGCTTGTCTTCCGATGAGGCATTAGCAATACCGCTGTGGAAAGCTCATGGATGGGAGTTACCGAGGGCACCTCTGGGAGTGGAAGGCCTCAGGGGTGACAGGGGACTGAAGGCTTAAAAGCCAGCGGCCTCCCCTGTCTTTTTTTTTTTTTTTTTTTTTTGAGCAAGGTTTTGTGGTCCTCAGGGGCTGGTAGTTTGGGCATAAAGGGAAATGTCAGGCAGGGCTTAGGGGTTATAAGGCAGAGACGAGCAGCGCTGTAAAAAGGTGAGGATGGTGGTGAGTCATGAGGGTTCATTTGTGAAGATCAGGGTCCACCCTGATCCCTCCTGGGCTTGTAGCTAACCTCAGCGAGAAGTGTGCGCACGCGCACTCGGCTCCCCACGCAGACATGCGTTTGCCTACCTCAGGAACGCACCTCCCAACTCCCCACCGCTAGCTTTAGGGGCAGGGTGTTAGCAAGATTAAGCTAACCCCACCACGAAGGCCATGCCAAGACAGCAGTGGTTTCCTGAGAGATAAGCCCTTCCCGTGGAAGAATCGTTTCCTTTCCAAAAAAGGTCTTCCGTTCCTTCTGGAAGCAGTATCTCAATGCCTGTTTGAACCTGCAGACCCAAATAGCACTGAGAACAGAGGTGCCCGGGAGGGATCCCACGAGCACATGGTATTTATCAAGAGCTATGCCTGTTCGGTTCCCTGCCTGCTTGCTGTCCTGGGTGCTAGAACCTTCTAGCGTGACAGTCTCCTGGGAAACCTGATACTGCAGAGCCAGAAGTCACTGGAAGGCCCATTGCCAGGGCAACCAGGTTTCTTCTGAAGACCCTTGGCGTCACTGTATCATGCTCCTCCCTGCCCTGACCCCAGGTGTTTTTCTTGGACTGTCACCAGTGCCAGCTGCAGCAAGTGCCAATGTCCAGGCTGAGCACACTTAGATTCCATTACTCAGCAAGCCCCTCCACCCCAGCCTTGGGTTAATATTGACACTCTATTCACCTCAGTGATTTTTGCTTTGACCTTGTCCCCTGTGGCAGTCAAAGAGCCAAGAATAAATAATAAATAACAGGCATGATAAATAACAGAATAAAAGCTTGAGGGGCTGGTGGCATATATCTGTAGTCCCAGCACTTGGGAGGGTGAGGCAGGAGGGTTGTGAGTTAAGAGTCCTTGTCTCAAAGACAAAAAATTCCTTTAATTTCCAGGGGCGGTTTGGGGGTTGGTTCGTTGGGGTTGTTGCTTGGCTTTTGCAGGGCCTTGGTTTCATTCCCCGTTCGGGGGGGGACCTTTTCTTGGGCCTTGGTATTATTGTGCCCCAGAAGGGTTTTTACTGAGAGCATCCCCTACCTCATTGTAGAGAATGGGGAAGAAGAGGGCTGGGGGAGGGGAGAAGAGGTCAGTGGGGTCAGTAGTGTCAGAGGGAGGGAAGCAATGTATTTTCAGGAAAGACAGCCAGCAAAGGGCCTTTCTTGCCTTGCAGCAGCTCTGGACTAAAAAGATGTCCAGGGTACTTCAGTCTCAAGCCCACTTTCTCCAGAGGAGAGCACAAGCCCAAGTTTGCAGTTTTAAAAACTAATGTCCACTTTATGTGAGTCCTGTCCCCCGGGGCCACATGAGGAGATGATGTAATCAGCTAGTGGCCACCAGCAGATCAGAATTCAGAGCAGCCATGGCTGCTCAAGGCCAGCTCCGGTCCCCGCTCCAGGGGTAAGATTACCTCTGGGAGAGAAAGAGGCGCAGAGTTTTGATGCTGCGGAGCAGGACCAACTTCTCCCCACGAGCTCCCAGCGCCCACACCCAGCGGGAGGAATCGATTTCCACCCACTGCAGCCCCTCTTCGTCCTTCCCTAATTGTTGCAAGCCTGCCAGAGCCCGGGAACCGCAGCACTCACCAGGGTCCCCATAACACGGGCACACTCCGTCCAGGATAGAAGGCTCCAGCAGTACCCAGGACACTTTCACAAGAGTCACCTTCCCCCGACCCAGCCGAAGGAAACGCAGGCAAAAATTTCGCCTCCCGAGGGACTGACGAGGCCCTCAGGGGAGCCCACCGTTCTGGTCCCCTCCCCACCTCGATCCGCCCCTCTCGGCGCAGTCCGCCCCAGCCCTGCAGCTTACGCGCCCTAATTACTATCAGCAATCAGGTGTGCGTGTGCGTGCACACACATGTACCTTCTGGACAGTCGAGTCCTCCTACAGAAAAACAATGATTAAAGGTGGGATACATTATCCCTTTGACGTGGAGGTAAAACCTGACGGTGAAGAGTTTCTCTCCCCGCGGAAACACCTCCGCCGAGCGTTCAGCAGTGGGCGACTGCAAACCTTCCCTGGTAAGACTTGAAATCCTCCTGGTTTACGAGTTTGCAAACCACATCTACAGAGGGAGCCGAGGCGCTCAGCGAGCTTGCACCCATTTCAACACCCACGACTGAGACCCAAGCGCCACTAGAAAGGCCACGCGCTTCCCGCTCCATCCAGGAGCTGTTCGCGACCGCAAAGGAAAACCCAGCATCCTTCCTTGAACCTGCGCGCTCTCGGACGCACGGCCTTCCTTCCCTATGTCCCCAGCAGCTATTCCACTTAATCAGGCGGAGCCTCGTGGCGAGGCGCCTGCCCGGGTGTGGCCCAGCCAGCGCTCGGGACTGCTCAGAAAGCGCGCGGGACTTTACCGTTGCGCGGGGCGGCGCTGGAGGGCTGCGCCTGCAGGATCAGCAGCAGGAGCGCGGCGGCAGCGCGCTGGCCGCGGCGGGGCATCGTCCACGCTTCCACGCGGCGAGCGCTGGAGGCGCACCAGCACCGCACCAGCGCCGCACGAGCAGCCGAGAACCGCGGCGAGCCGGTCCGCGCCCGGGAACAGGCTCCCCGCGCTGCTTTTATGCTGCAGCTCAACCCCAAGCACGTGATGTCATCACGCGGGGGGAGGGGAGCCCAGCCTCCCCGAGGGCTGGCGCCCCAGGTCCGAGATGAATTGTATCCCGGACTCAGCTGCCCTCGGGGCCCGGGGCTCCTAGGGCCGCCGCTGACCTGAGGAGCCGCTCTCCTCGGAAGCTGCCCGCAGGCTGGGGTGAGATCGCCCACGTCGGGGACCAACGGGACGTTTGTCTAGGGACCCTCTCAGACACGACTTTGGTCCCTCGCTGCCCTTACTTAAAAGTCCACTGCTATTTGGGCTAAAGCCTCTTCCGGGCCCCAGTCACTCCCCTGCTTGGACTGGGCACAAGTTAGCCACTGAGGTATGGAGCTGCCTGAAGTTCAGAATTTCTGGACGAGCTGATGCACATCTTGGTCCGAGCTGTTTCCAGCGGCATTAGCGGCCGCCGTGGCTCGCTGCTGGCTGCTTCCCTCGCCTCCCGCGTGCAATCTGCACTTTCACACATCTGGTGCAATGCACGTGCCGCTGCTGATCCCCTTGTATTTACCTCCTCGGGTTCTTAGTAACCTGTTCCCCCCACTAACTCGGAAATCTTGCTGTTCGCTGTGCCCACCACTGTCATGTTTGCTTCTGGGCACCCTCAGGGTCTCCGCAGAGCTCCAGGAGCTGGGCAGGGTTTCCCTCCCCACTTGTGACTCCACCCCTACCGTCCACACTCCCCCGACCGCAGAGCGCGCCCATCCCTAGTCCTGGCGCGGGACCCCTGGGTTTGAGCCAGTCACACCCTTGTCTCTTGACCACAGCCGCCAGAACAGCCCGTACCAATATCAGATCTGTTCTGACCTCCACACTGACTGGCCTCAGTGACCAGGGAAGCCTCTCTTTTATCTTGATTTTGGAAGAACGAAGCCGCTTCCCTGCTGAGAGCGCCGGGAAGCAGATGTCCCCCCCCCCCACACACATTTCAAGGGGTATTACTGTCCTTAGGGCTCCATCAGCTCAGCGATCGTGTGGGTCACAAAAGGCTATGAAGACTCTTTAAGGAAGTTATTACAATGACAATCTTGTCACAGCCACTTCCAAACCACAGTAGGCTTAAGGATGACCTTTTCTACCCAATAAAGAGGTTTGAGCAAACGCTGGAGTGAGGAAGGAGCGTTTGCCTGCGGTTTGTGTTTTTGTGTCTTTTGTCCTCAAGGTTATTCTGTTTAGACATTGAAATGGACCACGGTAGCACAAGAGCCGAAAGGAACCACCGCAGGGCCAGAGATTCAGACCCTCCTGTGGAGCAGCAATCCCTTGCCCTGTCCAGCTGGTCGTTTGAGGCACGCTGGACCACGCACACCTCTGCTGCTGCTTCCTCTCAGCGCCACAAAGATAAATGAATAAATATTTCCTCCCAGGCAGGGTGTTTTCCCCCTTGGGTCTGCCTGAAAGCTGAGTTCCGTTTCTCCACCATCGTGGAGAAATCCCTAAGATGGAGAGGTTAAGAGGGACGAAAGGCTGGACTTGGTAGACTGGTAAAGTTAGGAGTCAGAAACTTGGTTAATTAGAAAAGAATGGAGGGGGCTGGGGAGATAACTCAGCAGCTTAAGCGCCTGCCTGGCAAGCGCAAAGTCCTGAGTTCAGTCCCCGGTACCACAAAAAAAAAAAGGAAAGAATGGAGGGCTGTGAAAAGAGAAACTAGAATTTAAACTGAGGCTGAATCATTTTAAGCTCTTGGAGTGAATTTTAAAAAGAAATCACTCTTAGGCAATCAGAGGAGGGGAACAAAAGGAACCGGATGACTGAATTTCAAAAGTATTCAAGCTAGGCTGGGGATGTAGCTCTGTGGCACAAGTGTCTGCTTGGCAAGTGCAAGGTCCTCAGTTTGATTCCTGGAACAAAACAAACAAACAAAAAAAGATAAAATTTAAAAAAGGTTTTTAAGTTGAGGGTCTGCTTTTGAGTTAAGTTGGATGTGGCCCAGAAGTAGAGCCCTAGCCTTGCATGCATAAGACCCTGGGTTCAGG